GATCCATCTGTATAAAATGTGAAATCAGTAGAATGGTGGTTAAAATTTGCAAGCTGTTGAAGAGTATTAGATGTGGAGTTAGTTAAGAATATAGAAGGAATTTGTGAGGTTTGTATATAAAGATTTGGAAATGCAGAAATTGAAGAAATATCTTGAAGTTGAATTAAATATAAGGTCAAGAGGGTTTGCATTGAAGTTAATGGATTTGTCAGAATAAAGTCTGCAAGAAATTTGATAGCATGGCTAGTTGGAATAAGAATAATACATTTGTTATTAATAATATTGGAATTAAGAGAATAGCTAGGACATGGTTTAGTAGTTATATTAGGAATGAGATATAAAGATGAGAAAGCAGTTGTAAGATCACACTGCTAGTGAGTGATTAATTTATGTCCTGAGTTTGTGGAATGGCAGCAGGCTTTACCACAATAATTTGGTTATTAGATATTGTAATAAGCCAAGGTTTAGAGTGCTTTTGGAAGTAAACAGTGTTGTAGCTATAGTAATTGGTTGTTGATAATTGTAACTGAGAAGAAATAGATCGATTGAGAGGATAGTTGATAACAGAGCTTTCTAAGAGTTTAAACCATTGTGGAATTTTTCTTCTAGATATTTTATTAAGTCTTGGAGAAATATGCTTCAAATCAAGGAGACAAGAATTATCAGAAGTAGTGAGTTAGTCAAGAAAAAGTATGTGGTGATAGCATAATTGTTTTTTAAAAGTAGTATAGTTAGAGTGTGGCGACAGGATAGATTCAAGAGTAACTTGAATTGTGAAAGGTATGGTTGTATTTGGATTAGAACTAATTGTCCAATTTATGTGTTTGAGAAGTTGTATAATTTTAAAGTTAGTAGTAAGTTTGTTAGGGGCCATCAATGAGAGGATTGAGGTAAAATAATATACTAGTGGAGGACCAGAGATTATATTGGAGCTGTTGGATTCTAATACATATAGATATGCCAAGAAGAGATTTATTGTTGAGGCGTTTAATAAAATTAGGAATGTGGTGTTAAAGTTTTTTTTTTCGGTATTAAGGCGACTTCTATGGCCTGAGAACTTTTTATTAAGTAGATATATAACATATTAGTCACAACAAGAGTATATATAGCCACACGTGCACCTTTTGAGTGTCTAATTTAAGTAGTCCGCTCGAAGGTTCTACAATATCTGCCGTACCTGTATCCCAACTAGGGGGGTACCTATTTAAACCCTCCGGTTACAACTGCTAGCTACATTCTACATAACCAAGGTGTAACTCACTATTCGATGGTAGCTTTTGCGACATCTATAAATTTTGCACCCTACCTTAGGACTTACTAACAATTTTTGGATTTATCAATCCCTTGTCTTAAGACTAACTAACCATATATGGCTAATCTATCCACGAGGTAAACCTAACAGAGTAGTCCATGCCCCACACATGTTTTTACCTGCATGTTTGGTAATTTCTTCCTAACTAGTATGTGTTGTACTGCCGTCACTAAGTTCGTATCTCAAGCCAACTATTGGGGTGCTGCCGTAACCCAGTCCGTATCTCAAGCCACAACCTTCCTAATTAGTCGCCCATTATGTACTCCTTGCTCTTGTAAGGTTCCTAACAACCCCAGTACCCGCATTTGGAACTGTCTTCTTACCCAGATTCTCTATCGGTCCCTCCCTTACTTCCATCTGGCAACCCAGATAGGTTAGTCTGCCCAGACTTTAGGTACCTGAAGGATGCCCTCCTCTTGGTCTATACTTTCAGAGCGTATGTCCTTTTCCTCCAGTGCGACAACCCAGTAGTTCGGCTGGTGTGTCCTCCGCTATAAGACCTGGTCGCTCGGTTCTCCGATCTCGAGCCCCAATTTGAATTCAGCTCTTCTGTGGTACCATCGAAGAATATTGCTACATCCCAACTCAGAACTTGCCAAACGGGTTTTTAGTTATTTTGGTTTCTTGAATTTATTGCGCCAAAGCTCCTATTACTAGATGGTGTAACCATGATTACAGATTAAGATCCAACTGATAATCGAAAACTGTTAACTGTACGCAGATCCATTTTTCAAAATCGTCGTCTGTGAGATTTGAACTCTAGACCTGCTGCTTGGAAGGGTGACAACTAACCAATTACACTAAGTCGCCACACCCCTATGTGGTGTTAAAGTTGGATGTTCCAAATATTTTTAATGTTATAAATCTGTTGATGAAGTAGAATACTAGTAGGAATGGTAAGACAAAGTTTGGCTTTATGCTTAACTAGATTAATATGTTGTTTGAAAATTTTGTTGCAAACAGATTGGCTAAGAGTAATATTATAAATTTTATATTCTAGGGTAGAGATAATTACAGTATTAATGATATATCTAGCTTGAGTATCAGTTATTTGTTTAGTATTAGTAATTTTAACTAGTTGAGAAGATTCAGAAGAAATAAGTTGAATCTGTTTAGTGTGTTTGTTGTTCAGAGTAAACCAACAGCCAAGGAACTTAAAAGGCTGATTAGCTAGCCATAGAGAAAGTGTTTCATTATTGAAGTAGATTGAATAATAAGTATTAGGTTTAGAGTTGGATGTTAATATAGATTTGGTAGGGTTAACTTTAATGTTAGCCATATTGTAAAAGAATTCAGCAACTGAAAGAATATTAGATAGCTCAGTTTAACTAGATGCAATCCACAAAGTATCATCCATATAAGCCAACACAGAGCTATTAGCTTCAAGCTTATTGGTAGAAAAGTTCTTTAAATTAGTGGGCCATAAGACCTAAGTTGAGTAGCCAGGGAAAGTTGAATATATGTAGGTAATTAGAGGGTCACCAGAGCAAAGGGGCAATGGTTTCCCCTTGATCAATACTATTTTGAATCTGGTATAGTAATATCAACCCAAGATTGGTTATGACTTCATTTTGGCGATTAGTAAGTAGATTTGAGAAAATGTTAATAATAAATTAAGGAAGAGAGTGTTTAAAGAGGTCAAAATTAACAGAGTTATAGGCTTTACTCATATCTTGAGATAAAAGCCAAATTTCTTTGTAATTGCAATTAGCATCTTCAATTAGGTTATTAAAAATATGAATAGAAATAGATGTACTGTTGCCAGGTAGAGCTACATAATTGAAGGATGATAGAATAAGATGTTGAGAAAAAACTTGGTTGAGTCTGTTAGTTAGTATTTTGGTATAGATTTTTCTCACATACTTAATTAAACTAATTGGGCAAGTGAGGTTAAGATTTCTATAAAAAGCATTGCTCTTGGATATGGGTAGATTCCATAGCTTGGGCATAGAGTTTTCAGAAAGGCAGCGATTAAAAAAAACAGTAAGAGTATTGATGCAGTAGTAACTGAGATGTTTAATCATCTTATAGCTAATGCCTGTAGGTCCACAGGCTTTCCCATTAGAGAATTGGGACCTCTGGTTAAAGAGATATCCGAAAGCAGTTATAAGTCGGAAGAAACCTATACGTTAAGGCGAAGCTTTACATTAGAGATATACAACTGTTGCATTTGTTATATAATTTTTTAGCCTTGCACAGATTATAATAGTGCATTTTGGTTATATAGAGAGGTGAAATTCCTCTCAAACTGTTAACTTTTTTCTATAAAATGTTTTTTTATTTTTTCCTGTTTTTTTTTTTTTGTTTTTTTTTATTTTTATATTTCATTTATTTCCCCTATTCCTCCTTTCATATCTCTTTTTTAGTTATAGAATAGATTTTTTGATAAGATAATTCTGGTTTGTCCATGAACTAGTGCAATGGGTTGCATTTAGAACTGTAAGGTAACCGAGTGAAGTTGGGCTTTGAGTTCTATAAATTAAATGTATATAGTTCTTATAACATTTCAATAAAAAGCAAGCCACAGTAAAACCCATGAAGATTAAAAAAAAAATAAAATAAAAAAAATAAGTTGGTTGGATAGCTTGATATTGGTAAAGTGAACAGGAGACTGATATCGATTAAGTATACTGTTGATAGCTTGAGTGGGCTTGGATGCAAGTGTTTCGCATTTTCTTTCTGAGGCCTGATTGATTTGATGTCTAAAGAAAAAGAGTATTCAAGGTGATAGGCATGGTAGACTTGTTTCTATATAGTGTAAGCATATTGTAGCTATAGTTGAACAATAGTAGAATCAAGTGAGTTTAGTGATTGAAGATTGCATTTTGTGTATGTGTTAATAGTTGTAATAAGTATGCCAATATCTGAAAGGTATAAGTTAGAGTAGTTACTACTATTTTTGTGAAATCAGAGTGGCTGAAACTTTGGGGACCACCTGGATCTGAATAACCAGATCTTTAATATCATTATCCCCAGAGCTTTATTAAATAAATTGTTTTATATTTACATTATATAAATATGTTTGTAGTATGAAATTACATGAAATAGAAATAAAGTTGTATGTAGTAATAAAAATAAAAAGAAATATCTAAGTTGTTGATAAATTAAATAAAGTAATATAAATTTAATAAAGACAATAAAAGAAAGAAAATAAGATTTGTTTAAAATAGAAAAAGAAGAAATATTTAGAAAATTTTATAGATAAGATAGTTTAATATAAATTTGGTAAAGATAGAAAAGAAGAAGAAGAAAAGAGGATAATATAAAAGATAGAAGAAGAGTAAATAAAAAGTATATATACCGAGTTGGTGAAAAGTAACTGGATAGTGACCTTTTTTACTACTCTCATTTAATTTTAAAGTATATATAATATAATATATATGTAATAAGCATTAATTTTAAGAATAGTGCACAAATTATTATTAACCTGATATACATTAAATTAATTGTTCGAAATGTTTACTATCAACTTCAATACAGTATTTAAGATGATTAAAAAATGTATATCTAACATTTGCTAATTGTTTTGAGATAATATTTTCATATTTATTAATAATTTATTGTTTTAATTCTTCAATATTATTAGGAGGCGTTTTGAAAACTTCAGTTTTAAGGTATTCTCACAAAAAAAAATCAAGTGGTATAAGGTCAGGTAAATGAAAAGGCCACTTATAAGGTCCTCCTCGACCTATCTACCTATTTGGAAATTTTTATTAAGATATTTATGAACATCCTTGCTAAAATAAGCAGGTGCTCCATCTTGTTGAAAAATAACTTCATTTTCAGAAAACAAATTATTCAACTCTGGAATAATAAGATTCTGCAACATTTCCAAATACTTAGGTCCATTTAAATTTTCTTTAATAAAAAATGGACTAATAATAAAGTTATTTATTATTCCTGCCCAAACATTAATTTTTTGTGAATATTGTGTATTATCAGTTCTCATAATATACTTATTTTCTTTACTTAAATAACGGCAATTATGTTTGTTTACTTCACTATTTAAATAAAAAACTGCTTTATCAGTAAAACAAATACAAGAAATAAAAGTTTTATTATTTATAATAAGTAGTATTAATCTATTGTAAAATTCAAGTTGCAAATTAGAATCAATATTAAGAAGCTCTTGATGAAGTTAAAACTTATAAGGGTGGAATTTATGAATTTTTAAAATTTTTCGAATGCTAGAAGGAGAAACATTGAGTTTCATTGCAAGTTGATTTGTTGATTGTTGTAGATTCTCTTGAAGAGCACTAATAGTTGCCTCTTGTTTAATATGATTAGTTGCACTTAGTGGATAGCTAAAATGATAATCATTTGCTACATTTTCTGATCTAGTAAATTTATCTACAAGATTTTTTATAGTTATTGGACTAGGTTTAGCTTTATTGAGATATTTCATATAAAAGATATTAGCAGTTTTTCATAATGAATTTTCTTTAAAATAAATTGTTACAAGTTTTGTATGCTCTTCAATATTATAACGAGATATAAGTGTATAATAAAAAAAATTATATATTATAATTACTAATTTATATAAATTATTACCCATACAACTCTTCCTGCAAATCCTTAATACAAAATTTACTTAAATTTGTCCAACAAAAAATGTCCATTTTATTATGCTAACCTAACCTTACTTTTTAAATAAACTTGTCCGAAATACAAAAATACACATAATATTTAAATTTCACATCTATAACTCTTATATTCATGGAGTAAAGTCCTAAAACATTTTTTTAAACAAAAAATTCAAATATTTGTCATTTACTCTTTAACCTGATTCTAAACCTTTGCACTACGTCTATTAAAAGTTGTTCTACACACTTTCCTCGTCATAACAAGCTATATTTCATCTCAGTAGTATTAAAATTGACAAAGTTATTCTTTAAGCAAAAAAATTAAACTTTTGCCATTTACTCTTTAATCTGATTCTAAATCCCTGCACTAAGTCTATTAAAAGTTGCTCTACACACTTTCCTCGTCATAACAAGCTATATTTCATCTATGTAGCATCAAATTGACAAAGTTACTCTTTAAAATATTTTAACTCTCTTTTACTCACTCTTTACAACTTTCTTTGTCTTTTTTTTTGTACTTTTCACTATACCTGATTTTTGTGTAATGTCCAATCACTTCCAAATTTATCCAAATTAACTTTATATTACAGAAATATTAATTTTCCTTTTATATTTTTCATTCTA